TTTTTCAACCACACGGTAACTATTATAAATATTGTTCACTCGCATAACTATTGTTAAAACATTGTCATTGTTCAACAACGCAATTCTTACCTCCAAAAAATGTGATAGGTGTTATTGGTGGCATGACATCCTGACAGTAATCCCCAATCCATTTCGACGTACAGCTACAGTTGAAGTTTCCAGAAACGTCACTCATACATGTGCCTCCATTATTGCAAGGACTGCACGTGCATGGATCCACTTTGGTCCCACACGAATCTCCGCTGTAACCAATTTGACAACTACAGTTATAGGACAGAAACATCGTTTCCGAACAATTTCCACCATTCTGACAGGGTTGGCTTACACAAACAGGACTCACCTCACAATTTATTCCTGGATAAACAAAAAATTAAATGGATGATATATTTCCGTTATCTTAAGCACGGCTAAATCCATTTGTTAAGGTTAGCTCAATTTTCGTCAAGGTCGCTGAGATGTAATTAAGGGCAGGGCACTTGATTGTTGGCGAGATTGTAGGTCGGGATTAAGGTAAGTATTAGGGCTAGAGTTAGGGTTGGGATTAGCGTTAGTCCTGTTTACGTCTCGTTACCTTTGACCAAACTTGAAGTTGGCCTTATCAAATAAATCTAACCCTTAAGCATTGACCACAGAGACCTTCGATGGGTGGCAACATCGTCCCAAGGAGCGGGGAAACGTACCAGTCTGGTTTTCGCTGGAAAGTGGTACAGGACAGGGTCTAGACTTTCAGGTGAGACGCAAAACCAAAGTCCACCCGTATACTCGTCGGCGTTCACGTACAAGACCGATCGAGACAATGGTCGTTTCCCGAACAGCGATTGTCTGGTTGATCTTATGAGTTAAAACGCAATTTTTTTTTAACAATTTAACAATAACAAGGGCGATAATCCGTTTAGAATTTTGGAAAACGGTAAAAATTAATAAATAAAGTGTAGTGAGTAAACTTAAGATACATTATGAAATGAAATGGGGTTTAACGTCCTACTGTTTTGCTCCGAACTGGGCTAATGAAGACGGGCATACGCCATACAGTGTGCTATGAGGGAAATTTTGCCCGGACAGCGACACTACGGCCTACTCTTATATCGAATTCCAACTGTCAAGGGATCTTTTACGTGCACGCCAATGTGTACACGGGACCTCGGTTTTTCGTCTCACCCGAATGACTAGACAGCTGTCAGACAAGGGGGAACCACGCCTGAAAATCAAGATGAACTTTCTCGGCCAATGCAGGGATCGAACACCCGACCTCCAGGCTAGCGAGCCAGCGCCTTACCACTTAGCCACCGTGATACCAGATACATTATGTAAGATTTAGATAAAGAGCTACGCATCCTTGCTATAATAGTTCGAAAATAGATAATGTCAAATGAATAATTTGAAAATTTCATTCAAATTACTCTATTGCGAGCGAAGATATTAGCCTTTGAATGTTTGACAAGACGTGTGCAATAATTTTAACCACGGTACTGGTTGTTCGAAACTAAGTCCCGCTCCTCCATTTTTAGCTTAAATCAAAATATAACTGAATTGTTCTAATCTGTTTAATATCGGAGAAATCCGATGCCATCGAGAGTTGATTATGGTCTGGATAAGTTAATTAATATCTAATTAATAGTTTAGATAACATTTCAGGCCTAAAGAAAGACCTGCGATAGGCAGATTTAGCCCTTGCATAATATACGTTTAATACTACTTAGTGATAGTTTAAGTCTTTAAGCGCCATGTACATGTAGTCTAATTATAGATTCTCCCAAACCTGTCTCTTATTTTTTAGGCTATTTTTGTTTATTTAGTCAGAGAGAGAGAGAGAGAGAGAGAGAGAGAGAGAGAGAGAAATGGGGTTTAACGTCCACTCGACACAAACTAGATCATTTCGGGACTAACATATGATTTAATTTTATTTCAATAATTCGCTTGCGCGTAGGAGTCTTTAGCAGTGGGGGGAAACCGGAGGACCAGGAGAAAACCCACGAGGTTGGACAGGCGACCCTACCCCTTGTCACGTAAAACCGGGGAGTTTATTTAGTCAGCTCATAATGTGTATTGTCATATGTTATTTAATTCTTTGTATATGACCCCACTAACTTTTCCTGGTCTGCTTAACCCTGTTTATTTAATGGCACCCTTTGAAGGGCCTCATAACTACTTAATAACCCCTACTCAGTCTTAAAATGTTTATTCAGTAAGCTAATAACTTTGTTGTCCTGGTTCCCTTTTGATTCTTTTTGTTACTGTTATTTAATCTATGTAAATGTTTGCACCGTGAATTTCATAATATGTGTTAACAATCACTCGTATATTACACTATACATGTATTGTGAAAGTGGAATCCCTAAAATAAATCTGAAAGGTTCAATTTGGTTCAGTATTTCTAAAGATATGATGAATTGAAATCTTATCAACATTCACCATCCTCGGAAGACGATATATAAACGGTATATTTTCAAAAAATCAGTGGGGGTTTAGGATGGCATAGTCGTCTAGATGTCGCTCTTCGAGCTCTAGCTGGCCGATCACTTCTAGCTTGCGGTCGGTCGTAGTGTCGATCCCTGTTGTGAGCGTATGTGGCCTGGAGATAAGAGCGCCTTCTCAACCTCCTGGGTTTACTCCGGGTACCCCAGTTTCCCCACACAGGAACGAATGAAGTAATTTGACTGACATTTTCAATATATTCTCTTTGCATTATCTATTATGTAACTATTATATAGTGAGAACTGTTAACTCTTTATCTAAATCTTACATGATTCATTTTTAAATATAGAGAATACCATACTCCCCACAGTGTTTCGTTTGATTAGAGCTAATCCCACTCAAGTACTGCCGTAATGAAAGCAAATTTCTGTTCCAAATTATGTCTGGTCAATATTCCGATTAACAACCAATGCCTAACTGCGTAACAATGTCATTCGGGTTTAAACAGAGTTCCACATTGTTTACATAATGTTACGTCATGATCCACGAAATTTTTAGGCACAATTAAACAGTGCATAGCTAACTATTGCAGAAAAACTAATTGCGTGACAAACGAGACTATCAACAGTTACAATGTAAACAATACTGTTTAGAGACGAACAATACTTTAACCATTTTAATACCTTAAAACACTGTCCAAAGTTTTAGGGAAGACCCCAAATTAAACGAAGGGCTGTCATGTTGCTGTAATTGGGAGAGATTTGCTTGAACTGGAAGAAAAGACACACTCCATCAAAGGCTCAAGTATCATAAGTCAATCCAGCAATGGCCAGAGAGGGATTTCTCAGTCAATTACTTCAGGAATATGGAGAATACAGGTCGAAAAAAGATTTACAGTAACCAGAAATAAGAAAATGCATCGAAGACGGTCCCAAAATTTATCATTTCGGTTGAATCGAGTGTTCGATTAGCATTCGAATAGTACAATCAGCATTGGACGTGACTAGTAGACATTTCATGGGGATCGACCCACTTTATATTTTTTTTCCCACGATCTACTATTAAAGATAGTCTCATTATGCTACTCACATAATGACATATAATCATATTGATAAGAAATAGGCCGTAACACACGGTGTGTATCGCTTTTTTGTAGAAAACAAAGAAGTCCTATACATGTCTATTTATAGTTATGACTAATACTATTTTTTTTTTGTCTACGATATCACCTCAGGGGCCTGTTTCACGAAATTTTTAACTAAGATAAAATCCAAATTTTAGTAATTTGATTGGATAATATTAGATTGATTTTAGTGCTTAGCCAATCAAAATTGAAGTATCTACTAAAATTTGGATTTTATCTTTAGTTAAGATTTCGAGAAACAGGGCCGTGGAGGAGGTGGACGTAAACCTTTAGGAACGAACAAACGACTATTTTTTTTTACGCTTCACTAAACATAAATCTCGATTTTTATCTATATCTCACGTGGCCATGATGATACTTATTATTATGGTTATCGAGTATATCTTTTACGTATATATCTCCCTGTGGCTGGATATGAAACATGACATATCTCTTAAGTATATAATTAAAGCGGGGGTTTAGACAAATCATGTTTCTCATTTTGTTTGCCAAATAATATTGAAATAAAATCCACATAGAGGTAGGTGGTAGAGTCACATGTACGGAGCCACGGTGGCTCAGTGAGTAGGACGTTGGATCGCTAACCTGGAGGTCACGTTTTCGGTCCCTGCGTTGGCCGAGAAAGTTCATCAGGATTTTCTAGCCTGGTTCCCCCCTAGTGGGGTAGGACGGAGGGCCAAGCTGTCTCTCAATATATATATATATACAACAATGATTGTATTACCAAAATGTTGATTATCTGAAAAGCTTAATAAAATAAGCGAAAGTGCTATCGACCAAATAATGTAGTTCTTTTTTCAAAAACTTTTATATTTTTTTATTTATTTATGCATTTATCTACCGTAAACAAAGAACTACTTGTACTTTATTTACTTTAATATATATATATATATATATATATATATATATATATATATATATATATATATATATATATATATATTATTCTCTTGGTCTAGGTACGGACACGGACATTACAAATCGTAGATAGTAATTAATTTATCAATGAATATTACATTGTCATTGGTACGAAACATAATAACATATATTTTTTTTAAATATAGCCTACCTATCTTTCCTACATATTGTTACTTATTCAAACTCTAGCCGACCCATGTCCTTGCTATATATTACAGCTTATTCAAACGAAAGCCCATCCATTTCATTCCTACATATTACAGCTTATTCAAACTAAAGCCCACCCATATCATTCCTACATATTACAGCTTATTCAAACTATAGCCTACCCATATCTTTACTACATTACCGCTTATTCAAACTATAGCCGACCCATATCCGCTACATAATCATATTTTAATACAAAAATAAATGTATTTTTATGTAACTTGATCGATGAGAGATTACTTACTTTTTAAAAAAAAAATGAAACTGACAAATTAGACTAATAATTAATTAAAAACTAACCTTTGTAGCCTTGAAGGCAAGAACAAGAATAACTCCCGTTAGTGTTAGTACATGTACCGTTATTCTGACATATACTCTCTTCACATTCATCGATATCAACATTACAGCTTGATCCGGTCCAACCTGAAATTAACGTTTAACGTCCATTCAATTAGCTCATTTCCAGACTAACATGTGGTAATTTGTATTGCTCGTAGGGGTCTTTAGCACGAGAAGAGAACCGAACGACCCGGAGATACACACAGTTGGTAAATGTCAAACTACTTCTTGTCTCGTACAAGTGTGAGATCGAAACCACTTCATGATGTTCTAGGGGGCCTTATATTTACAGTTAGAATAGATTTACAAACATGCGTTGCTCAAGATGGGGTTTAAATTCCAATCGGCATATTTTGGAACAAAGATACAATTTAATTTCAATAATTCGTTTGTGCTTAGGGGTCTGTAGCATTGAGAGAAAACCCGGTGGACGCGGAAATACACGAGGTAGGTCAGACTACTCTACTCCATGTTACGTACAAACTTGGAACCGAAACCACGCAACATGACTCAACGAACCAACCTGTGATCTAATGAGCACGCGTAAGACCACTCACTTATTAATATAAGTAACTTACCTTGTTTACATATTTTTGCACCTGTATCTTGATTACAGGTATAATATCCATTAATAGCATCATCGCTAGGTTTACAGTATATAAAACAATCATGACGATAATAATGAGCATCACACGATACTCTAGCATCGATCTCTAAACTATAATCAATACAAAAAATAAAAAAAAATATTAACAACAAACTATAACACATATTTATGCAAAAACAGCTACTTATTTAATTAGGCGACGCTTCGAAGAGTATTTTCTCAACGTTTTCAAGATGTGGCAGTATCCATTAGCTTGATAACGTTGAGAGAATGCTCTTCAAAATGTCGCCTAAATAAATACTCTAGCATCAATCTCTAAACTATAATCAATATAAAAAAAACCAACAAAATGTTAACAAAAAACTTTAACACATACTTATGGAAAAAACAGCTACTTATTTATTTAGGCGACGTTTCGAAGATTTGGCAGTATCCATTAGCTTGATAACATTAAGAGAATACTCTTCAAAATGTCGCCTAAATAAATACTCTAGCATCAATCTCTAAACTATAATCAATATAAAAAAACCCAACAAAATGTTAACAAAAAACTTTAACACATACTTATGGAAAAAACAGCTACTTATTTATTTAGGCGACGTTTCGAAGATTTGGCAGTATCCATTAGCTTCATAACGTTGAGAGAATACTCTTCAAAGTGTCGCCTAAATAAATAAGTAGCTGTGTTGCCATAAGTATGTGTTATAGTTTATTGCTCTATCCAGTTACTAAATGCCTATCAAAGATTAAAATGTTAACAGTTTTACTGATATTGCCCAGAAGATGTTTGTCAACCACTGATCTCAAGACTGTAATCAATATAAAAACAACAAGTTAACAGTTTGACTAATATTGGTACAACGATGTTGTTCAAATACAATCACTCATTAGAGTGACTATTTTAAGTGATTGGGTAAATATTCCTGCTATCTTTTTATAAAGACTGGTTAATGTTTCTACACACCTGGTTCGTTGTTTAATTAGTTCGGCCGTATAACGTGGGGGGCGCGTGGGTGCTCGATTAATATGTCTTCTGATCGTATCAATATGATCATGACTATTTACGTCATCAACATCCACAATATCAACCTTTACCTTCACCACGCCCTAAATAGACATGAAAGAAAAAAAATAGAAATGAAATGGGGTTTAATGTCCTACGTTTCTTCACCAACTCAGCTCATGAAGACGGTCATCGTCATACAGTGAAATTTTGCCCAGGCAGTGGCGCTACGGTTTACCCTTATATCGAATTCCAACTGTCAAGTTTTTTTTTTAACTGCAAGCCAATGTGTACACGGTATCTCGAAACTTTGTGCCATCCGAACGAGTATACGTTTTCCCGCCATGCCCTCCGTCCTACAGCACTGACAAGGGGAAACCGCACTGGAAAATCCCAGAGAACTTTCTCGCCCAATGTCAAGGTCGAACCCCGAACGTACTGGTTAGCAAGACAGCACCTTACTCAGTGAGCCCCCCGTAGCTCCCGTATACATTACAGCACTATTAGCTGTATCAACATTGCTATTTTTATCGACCAATCAAAAAAATCGTTAAATCCATAAAAACTTACATACTAGGATCAAGGGTAGCTAATTTGAATACGTGTCTTCCCCATGGATGAACACAGGGTATAGTGGAGTAGAGCGGAATGAAACCACTGGGGATACCGAAGATGGAATACACATAGTTTGTCTATAGACATTCGATCATCAAAATGAAATGATATGAAATGGGGTTTAACGTCCTACTGTTCTGGTCTGAAATGCGCTAATAAAGATGGGCATACGCCATACAGTGTGCTATGAGGGCAATTTTGCCCGGACAGTGGCACTACGGCCTACTGTTATAGAATTCCATCTGCCAAAGCATCTTTTACGTGCGCGTCAATGTTTTTCGTCCCATCCGAACGACTAGATAGTTGTCCTTGTCAGGCCCTCCGTACTGCATCACTGACAAGGGGGAACCACGCCGGAAAATCTGGATGAATTTTCTCGGCCAATGCAGGGATCGAACACCCGACCACCAGGCTAGGGAACCAGCGTCAAAGACATTGGAAGTACTAAATGTACTAATTACAATATTGGCTACGTAAAGGAATACATACGGTCCATTGGGTGAATTTAAAGGGGAAGTAATTCCTCATTCCGCCAATATAATCACCAAATACTATGTGGTCTGTATCAATTGTATCCCCTGTTGTATATTTTCCAAACTGACAATCATTCATTGAATCGGATCTGTAAAAAAAAAACAAACATGAGAAACTTATGCTCATATATAAACACACGTACACACACACACACACTCCCCCCCCCCCTCTCTCTCTCTCTCTCTTCCAAGATATATATAAAAAATGATATAAATTATGAAAATTATTTAGATGTGATAAGAAATCGGAAACACAGAAAAGCACTAACAAATCTAAGAATAAGCGCACATAAATTGAAAATTGAAATAGCGAGATATTTAAAATTAGACGTAAACGATCGTTTGTGTAATATATGTCAGGAGGTAGAAGACGAAATTCATTTGATAACAAATTGTAAAAGACATGACGAAAAAAGAAAAGGACTGTTCAGATTAATTCTAGTTGACGAACCAAATTTTTATAAACTGAATGATTTACAACAATTTAAAATACTGATGATGAATAAAAATATAGAAATTTTAAAATGTTTATATTTCTATTATTTTATTTGTATATGCACATAACCTTGTAAGGTTTTTTATGCAATAAAGTTTCTTCTTCTTCTTCTGTAGACTACATCAATTAATAACAGTGGCATTCAGACCGCTGTTAACAGATAGACAAGATATAATTGTATTTTGTGATGCAATGGGGAGAATGCTACGTCTAGAAAATGGTTACCATCTTTCTACAGCTTTTTACTTACCCATATGCATTGTCAACACATATTGTAAACTTAGGATCGCATTTGGTTGGACAGATGAAAAATTTGCCATCACAGCAATGACCATTGGATCCATCACCATCTCCGTAAAACTTTAGAAGCTTTATTTCTAGAATACCGGACCCTACTGCACTCTGAAAAACAAAATGATTTCAGTCGTAATTAATTGTACAGTCTTCGAAAGCAACATGCAATGGTCGCCTGCCTAACTTCGTGTTTTCTGGTTTATATCGCTGCTAAAGATCACTGGGCAAACGGGAATAACTGAAAAATACACAACATATTAAATCAAACTGATCCGCAGTCAATATTCGCTAGGCCGCCCTTAGGGGTTAAATCGGGGCGAGTTAATGAGACCTTGATATTAAATTTTTACTTCTTTGTAAATAGGTTTAAAATGAGTAATAGTCGGACTAGTTTGTATTGCTGTGTCCGATGTTAATAACGCACGTGTTATGAACACCATATTGCAATGTTGGTGAACATTAGGATGTGGCGTCACACGTAGAACTATGCTGGACTTGACCTTAAATGTCACTCATCTTATACAGAGGTAAAAGAAGGCTTTGCAATACCGCTGTGAAACAATTTGATTACGGCTGTGTAACTGTTTGATACCGGATTATAAACTTCCCTTTCTTGTTTTCTTTATATTCGAAACACCTCGGTTTTTCGGAGTGGTTCCCCCTTTTCGGTGGTGCACGATGTATAGGGTGCTCAACATAGCCATAAATGAACTCTAATAACCTGATATTCTCAATACATCTATAAAATAATAAAACACTAAAATCTCTAACGGTAATGAGTAGAGAGAGGTCATCTCGGGACAAACATACGGTTCAATTTTATTTCAATAAGTTGCTTGCGCGTAGGGGTCTTTAGCAGTGGGAGAAAACTGGGGGACCCGGTGTAAACGACCCTTTTTAGTGGGTTGATTTTCCAGTTTGCTATTTTATCATATCAGGGCGGCAGATTTGGCTATTTCGAATTTTACGAAAATGTATCTAAAAGTAAATTTTTTAAACACTGAAAAATAAATCGAACATTATTAAAGGGTCAATACCACTCTTGTTGTAACTGAATAATATGTCCCAATCTTTATTCTGGTCAACAAATTGTACTATTTTACAATATTCCAATTAATTGATGATACAAACTTCATCTTAACACACCTAATTTAAAAAATTGGAAAAATTCAACTAAATGATTTGAAAAGCCTGACGTAAAGCTTTTCAAATGTGACTTGGATTTTAAAATATTTTTGAACCCTCTGGACAAGTAAAATAGGATTTAATGGATAATTTACACAACAGGTAGGACACTAACACATCTAGTACTTAGAATAAGGCTATTTTTTATTTTCTGGAGCTGTCAAGCCAGCAAGAGTCTTATTGTCCCTTTAAAGCATTAAACATAAAAAAAACTTTTGAATTAATTCCACCTACTTATTTTTAAAAATCTCTGTATTTTTAAAATTTCTTTAAGTATTTTAATAAATGTCATCTATTCAACGTACATTCTTGAGAAAGGGTAAACATAACGTCGTTCCCACGTCAACCGCTTGTGTTTATCGTTTAACGATAATTCAACATTTATTGACTTATTTCATGCTCTGATAATCTTGCTCTTTAGATGTATAAAGATACACACCAAACGCATAAAGTAGATTATTTATATTGCAGCATTATTATATACGACTATTATGAATAGCTATTCAATGATATTTGACTGGCCACTTCTAGAATACACACGTTTATCGAGAACAAATTTCCTCGTCAGCGGCTAACCCTGGCAAAGAACAGCGTCTAGCTAGGCGTTCAGATCGAACCACAAACTCAGATCCACCTCCACATTGGCGTACACGTGACAGGTATACAAATTCTCATCCCAAACATTGCACAAGTATCCATAAAATAATAACCATGTGTCAGTCTCAATACGACCGAGGTATTGTGTTGTCAATCAATCAATCAATTAAACACGTCCTAAGCATGGCAAGTATTCAAAATGTTCACTATGGCGGCCTATGAAAGGTTGCTGTTGTTGTTCTTAGTGTTTAACGTCGACTTCCATGGAAGGTGATATCATTTTCATTATCTTAGCGCACGCACGGGCTACATACCCTCACACCAGGGATCGAAACAACAACCGCAAGCCAGAGGTGACCGGTCAGCTAGATGTCGACGCGCAACACTCTAGCCCCCCCCCCCTCCCAACTATGAAAGGTTTTCCCAGCAACATATATTACCTATTAAACTACCTGGACCCCGTTTCACGAAATCTTAACTAAAGATAAAATCAAAATTTTAGTAGATACTTCAATATTATCCAGTCAAATTACTAAAATTTGGATTTTATCTTAGTTAAAATTTCGTGAAACAGACCCCAGATTGGCCACCAAGGTTTAAATAATAACACATGTTTACAGTGGACTGTAACAGACCAGTAACAATGTAGGTTATTTAGAAAGAGATTAATACATTCTAGATCAACACGAACTGGACTGTTTCAAAACAAATAATGTTACAATGAATTGTCTGGTTAGAGTGACAACGACATATATAGATCATGTCGCGTGTGATGCAGTTCACCAGCGACGTATGCAGGATTTTTGAAAGGGGCGAGAGAGAGAGAGCTACACACAATGTTTTGATTATTTTAAATTGATATTAAGTAATTTTATAATTTAAATATGCAATAATAGTCATATTTTATTCCGTTCATGAACGTGTTTGATAAAGTAAAAGTACAGTTTTACACCCCTTGTGGTGGTATTATCTATCTATACTAATATTTGTGACTAACGTTTGTCTGTTTGCTCGGGGTTGGCGGCTACAACTAGGGCTGTCCCGAGGCTGAAATTGGCTGGATAAGCGTATAGCTCAGACCGGGTATTAACATAGGCCGGTTTCGGAGTTAAGGAAACAACCCGGACAGCGCTAGGTTTGTGACAGTCATTTTTCTGTTCAAGGTTGGTGGCTACCACAGGGTTGCTCCGAGGATGGATTTCGGATATAACGGCAACTCGATCCGGGGGATGACATAGGCCTGGTGGCGTTGCACTATCACTTCCCGTTCAGTGATCTACCAGTGAATGCAACACCCGGTAAACAGCTAGTTAAACTATAGGTTTATCTATGATATCGGAGAGAGAGAGAGAGAGAGAGAGAGAGAGAGAGATGAGGTTTAACGTCCACTCGACACAAACTAGGTCATTTCGGAACTAACATATGGTTTAATTTTATTTCAATAATTCGCTTGGGCGTAGGGGTCTTTAGCAGTGGGAGAAAACCCACGAGGTTGGACAGGCGACCTTGTCACGTACAACCGGGGATTCGAAACCACGCCAGTTGACTCAATGACAGGCTTTATGATACAGCGCGCTCGTGCTAAAAATTCGGCCTTCCAACCCCCCTATGATATCAGAAGCCGGCGCGAATGGGGAGAATGCAACATCTAGAAACGATAATCTGCCCACCCTGTCTCTCGGATAATATGTTTACCAATAATCTCTCTCTCTCTCTGAACTAGTTATAATTACTTATATTTTTATTATACCGCAACCCAGTTATATTATTACAAACTACATCAATATATTTATTGGAATGTTACATGTGTATATATTGATTTGGCCTATATTACAGATGTTGTATAAACGATATTTCATCACACTTCAACTATTATAACTTTTCTATCTTTGCCAGGTCAACTAGAAATCCTTCCGTGTTTCTTACAACAATTGATATAATCTATCTTGGATTCGACGCGACCAAAATTCATACAATTATAAAAAGCGACTCCTAATATAAACTTATTCTTAAATATTAATTGTGTGGTGACATCCATTGAAAAATGTATGCTTGGTTGGTCTATTTTCTCACGGGACTTCACAAACTTGTATCATGTTATTCAAATTGTTATAGCCGCGTGTAGACGTTGGCTCGCTTACTTGTAGGTCCCCGTGTCCGATCCCTTTGTTGACAAAGCAAATTCATCGGGATTTTCCGGCGTGGTTCCCCCTTGTCGGTGGTGTTAAACGGAAGGAGTGGCAAGGGAAAGCGTATAGTCGTTCGCATGGGACGAAAAACAGAGGTCACATTTGCGTGAAGAAACCCGTTCATGAGGTCATTATGAGCCTCCATTTTGAAACAATGAGTGGTGTCATTACCATTTTCCCGCCTATTTCTCTTGCCTCATACTTTATTATAGAAATGTTCAAGAATGTCGGATTATGTGATCGTAAATCCACAAGTCTGGACATCTTTGGGACAGATGCATGACCGTGTGAACGGGGTTTTATCTAATATCAAACTTTATCATACAAATGTCAAAGAACGTCGCCGGATCCTGTGACCGTATATCCACAAGTATGGGATATCTTTAGGAAATTGCGCCATCGTGTGGACGGGGTTTTGGGTAATATCAAACTTTATCATATAAATGTCAATAATGGCGGGTCCTGTGGCCATAAATACACATCTTCGGACATCTTTGGGAAAAGGCATCATCGTGTAGACGGAGCTTTTGCTAATATCGGTTGCTACCACAGCAGTTGTTTATTTCAGTTATCTTACTTTAAATAAGGTAACCAAGACAACGTAAGAAAACAATGGGGTAATAATACTACTTTCTTGAGAAAAAATAAATTATGCAAATAAGGCATGTTTTGTTTTAGTTGAAAAAAGAAAAAGTTCAAAATAATGTGACAGATTTACGGTAACTGGTTTTATGAATTTAGTCATGGCAAACATGAAAGATACTAATACACGGTTTCTAAAAGGATAACTAGATTTATTTTAGTTGCAAAGTTCAGAGGTGAGACATGATGCAAAGAATATATTATATATAGATACGTATGGGCCTCGTCATAATTTTTGTTTCGAATCCCCGGTTATACGTCACAAGGATTAGGGTCGCCTGTCTAACCTCGTGGGTTTTCTCCCTAAAGACCCCTACGCGCAAGCGAAGTATTCATATAAAATTAAACCATATGTTAGTCCCGAAATGACCTAGTTTGTGTCGAGTGGACGTTAAACCCCATTTCTCTCTCTCTCTCTCAAAGTGGATTTGTAACCTGGGCGACCTTCGGTTATCGTGATTTCCTGACTATGGTCGAACTAACTGAATCCGAATT